GACGTTCCACGGTCAATCATAGGCTTAAATAGAAAAGATATTCGGCAATCGGAATTAAAAAAATTGGAGAGGGTTAACTTATAAAAAGTCTAGAAATGGAAGTAACTATACAGTACGTGTTATTTTGACGATTTCAACTTTTAGACTCAGTAGGGAATAATCTCCACTCAGCAATCAGAAAATGACATATTTGTTATCGGAAAATAATATACCTCTGTTAAATCCGCGATACCTCTATGTCATGATAGAAACACTAGTCTAAAATATTGAATTAGTATATATTCATTATGATTGAAATGAGATTAAAATAGGTTGCAGAATGTGTTGAGTGTGTACTAGCTATTGTCGGCATTCTGCAAGTAATCTGTAGGCTCTGTCAATTTTCGCTAGTTTGCCGGCTGATTACTATGTTACCTATACATCCAGCACGTTCTCTAGCCATTTAGTCTAATTTCAGCTAGGGTGAACAGATACTTTACTATGAAAATCATGAACTGAAAATCCGATCAAATATTTTATTATTATGATTAAGAGAAATATTTATAAATTTCGCCCATTTTAATCTTGCTTTTGATCTTATTTTAATTTTACTATTCTAAGGATTTTGATTTTGTGGTTTCTCACATAGTTACATAAAATTTATTTTTCACATCTTTTGAGAACAATTGCAAAATAATTATGAGCAAAATTAACGTTTTTTTAATAAATTTATTATTAATAACCTTTACACTACAAAATACCCATGCTCAAAACGAGCCATTGGCAAAATTATGGCAAGTACAAGACAATGAAATACCCAAATTACTGCGTATTGAGAAGAATTTAATTCAAGTAGATGAAATATTAAAACCGTTGCTAGATGAAGAAAGTTTTGGTGGAACTTATATAGACGTAAAAACGAATCGTGTAGCAATTAATACATTAAATTTTACTAAGGCCGATAATATAACATCTATTATGAGGAAACATATTAATTTTTTATCATTTGAAAATGTTAACCACTCCTTAACTACATTAAGACACACATTTAACCGAATATCTGAACTAGCTCAAAGTATAAGACCAAGATCTATTAGTTCTTTCATTGAGATAAAACTTAATAAAGTAGTAATAATTTTATCTCACAAAGATGATAATCATAACAAAGAATTTTTAAGGGCTATCGAAGTATATAGCGATACTTTGAATTTACAATATGCCGGTGACCAAAACCCATCTAATCCACCTCCTATGAATCTTCAAAGAATATCAGGCAGAGATAATGTATTGCCTCAAATTTTAAGTGGAGAAGGTATATATTATTTAAAAACCGGTATAAGGTGTTCTGCAGGATTTTGGGCAAAATCGAAAGATTCAAATACGAATTACATTGTAACCGCAGGACATTGTTCTAAATTTGGGAATTCTGCTTATTATCATATGCCGTGGAATTCACCTTTCTCATTAAGATCATCCAGATCATTTGGACAAACGTCAATATATCAAATTCAACCTTACGATGTTGCTTTGATTAATATAACAGCTAATATCAAACCAACAGCGATGATAAGAAATACTGATTCTGAAATATATAAAGAGTTATTTATATGTGATGACATTGCTGTATCCACTCATGGTGCTCATTTATGCAAATCTGGTTATGGTTCTCATGTTACTTGTGGATATATACGAGCGTTCAATGCATTTTTTTTGGATGATGAAGACAATTTTAATCCGCAATTGACAATTACGGACATGTCGACGATTAATCGAGATAGTGGAGGACCTATATTTTATTATAAGCAAAATTTGCGTCATGTAAGTTTATATGGTATACATATTGTAGGTGGTGTAAAAAGTACTGCTATGACACTACCAATAAAAATAATTCTTGACGAATTTAAGTTGGATCTTTTACTAAAGAAAACGTTTGGCATATGCCCAATATTATAGAATTTGTTTACATTTTCGAATATACACACAATTAAACATATTATTTTAGCGTGGTGGGTTGGAATTGTAAGGGGATGTTTTTGGGGGGAATTTACAAATAAGGGCCTGAAAAGTTAAAATAATTAAGGATAAGGGCCCAAATTAAAAATAATTACATATAAGGGCTTGATTTTTGAAAAATATTACATATAGGGCCCAAATATATCAATAGTTAAAAAAACGTGATTACGAGATTACCATGCTGCAAAGACACATATTTATTATACTGTATATTGATTTATTAGATAAATAAATAAGCACTAGTTACAATTACTTTTGCTTAAATACTATATAAAAGATAATGTTCAAACTAGCATATTTTTGCATTCAATATAAGAACCAAACATAAATACATATTACTTCAGATTAGACTAATCTTATTTTTATCAATGTCTTTGATTACAAGTACATATATTATGACCTTTTTCACCACATTTCCCATAGATAAGTAGATCTTCTGGTGCTTTTTCTCCATGACTACATAAACAAGTTTTTCATGGTTGTTCTGCTTGTTTTATTGTGGCTGGTGGCAGAGTTTTTTTTATCAAGAAAACAGGTTTCTATATCAACAGGTTAAGCAGATTTTTTATAAATATTTTGAAAAGTTGCAGTGTAATATGTAATATGAATAAATTGTAAAGACTGTTGACATGCCTTAAGAATAGCAGCACATGCATGTACACAAGGGAATCAATACTCTTAAAATTATTTGCAGAAGCAAGTTGATAAAATAAGGTTCATAACAAAAATTATTATTATTATTTTTAATTTTAAAAACTGACTTATTAACTTGATACATTATTTAGCTGCAATATTTGCTAATAACTAACTGTAGCTGCTAAGTAATTATAGGTGGCAATACTGTCTGAACTGAAGAGTATGTTGTGTAATAATTGTAGTAAAGTGTATTGATCTTATCTACAAATAAATTGATTGCTTTGAATGGTTTTACAATATATTTATTATGTAAGCAAGAATTTAAATATTCAGATATATTGGAAATACGATGACAAAATCTATTTTGAGAATATTTGTTGAGAGTTTATATAACAGGTGGTATTTTGCTAAGATAAATAGCTACTTCTATATATAAATTTGAAACTTCTTTTATTATATTATCAAAATCTTCTATATGTAATGTTTTTACCACAATTCAAAATTTATCTTCAAGTTTCATTTTAAATTTTGTATTGATTTTCTTTTTAATATGTCATATACATATGCATGTAATGCATTAGAAAATTTTGTTTGTATAGCATCTAGATACTTCATATATATTTAAATAGGTATAAGTATTAACATTATTATTTCACAAAATATTAAATATTAAATACCAGTATATTTTTTCATGATTACTAATAATTATAGTTTTATTTTTATTTATTAAAGGTAAAGTTATACCTAAATGCTTACAAAACCACATCTAATTATTAGAATTTTCAATACAACAAATGGTAAATACTATAGGAACAAGTTTGTCTTTATCTTTAATTGCACTTATGCTAAAATATATACTTTTGTAACTTGATTTTAAGTAACAAGTATTGAATATAAACATAAATCTACAATATTTATACCTTTAATTTATAGCCATAGGCATAGAAATACATATCAACTAATAGTACTAAAAACTTTATAAGATATAATCTATATTCTTTAAACATTTTTAAAAAAGTTAACCAATTTTGATTATAATTAATTAAAATATAATATGAATAAAACTATTTTTATATTTGTTAACAAAAATAGTAAATAAATATGTGCTGTTTTTATTTGTAAAATAAACAACAAGTAATTTGTTGAATTTATTAGTCCTGAATTTATAAGACAAAAAGGTTTCAACAGAATAACTCTCTAGATCTAAATAAATACTTTTTATATTGGTAAATATCATTTAAGTTTTAGTATTATATTTAACATTATAGAGCAGTTTGTTATAATAATAAAAAATTTTATTAAAGTAAATAAAATTTATTATATTTATAAAGTTAAAGACACTTCTTATTGATAATTACTAATTTATAACTTATTATTATATTTATCAATACTTATATTTTTTATATACTAATAATATTATTTATTAATAATATTTAAGTCATAAGTTTAAATAAACTTTATAATTTTACAAAAATAGAAAAGAATATATCAAAGTTTACTCAAAAACTACTCTATGAAACAGATTTTTTGCTACTAAAGAAAAAGAAAGAAAATTCAGAAACAGCATAAATTTATTAGAACAACTTCTTAGAGAAGCTGCTCATCAAAAATATCAAAAGACTTTTCGAAAAATTTCAGAAAATTTTTAGAAAAATTGAAAACTAGTTGTGACCCTAAAAAGCTAATCAATTGAATATAAACAAAGCATATTGTAAACAATCATATAAGTTAGAGTAAACAAACAAGTAAATAAAGCAATATGTGTTTAAGCACTTAACTAATACAAAATGTAACTACTAAATAAGGCACTATAAACAAGGGCATACATAATTATTAGATTAGTAATTAGTTTAAAAAGTTCTAGAAAAAACTTAGATTTAAGTTAAACAAACAATAATAACAAAAATAGCAATAACAGAAATTAAAGATTTATATAATCTAAACCAAAGAACAATATCAGAAAAGTATGCCTGCTTAAACAAGCAAAAAAAGCATATTGCAAAAATAGATATAGTTATAACAAACTTCTTAGATGCAAATGACCCAGTATAGGTATATATTATAAGAGTCTTAGTAACAAACATAGAAAAGTGTACAGAAATATTGCCAAGAAAAAAATTACAATAATGAAGAAAAGAGTTTTAATTAATCAAGAGAGAAAAAAATAAATTAATATGCAAAATGTGACATATGATAGTAAAGAAAAAGTACAAAATATAGAGACAAAAATAGAGCTTGAACCATAAATATAATAACTAATAGATCAAGAGACTTGTATAAAAAGAAAGAAAATAATAATAGAAAAAGAAATCAATAGCTCGAATAAGAAAAAGGAAAAAAAATCAAACAACAGAGTAACAGAAAGTGAATTTTAGCAAAACAAAGACAAAATAGAGCTAGAAGAACCAGTAATACAATTAATAGTTCAAGAAAGCAATCTTAAATAAAGATACTTAGAAGAAGAAACAGAAATTGTTAATAAAAAAAGAGATGATAGAGCTAATAAACAAGCAGAGGTTTTTTTAAATAAAACAGAAAAAGAAATACTTGAAAATTCAGATAAAGCAAATATTGAAGATAAAGTAGTGTTGTTAATAACAGAATGTAATATACATGATCTAGAAACAGAAGAGTTAAAAAGCTAATACTTCTAAGACACAACAATAAAACAAAAAAAAGCACATTAGTAGAAGAAAGAAAGAATTTAAAAAACAAATTCTATAAAGACATCAATGCATCAAAATAGACACCTAAAGATATAAGTGACTCCATATAGTCTACTAAAAACAGATCAATAACTCAAAACAAAAGAAGATACTAAAACAAAAACAAAAACAAAATAAACAATCCAAAAAAAGAAAGATTATTTACTAATCATAGTTTTAACTAAATATATATAATATAGCTTAGATTCTAAAATATTTTTAGTAGCTAATTAAATATTTTTTTTTAAATAAATATTAATAAACAAAGGTTTAATAAAGTTAAAAAGTTTGTAAGCAAGAGCGTTATTTTATTTAATATATTATTCTATTTTCTTAATTACTAAAAATTTTTTAAACTAATCTAAATACTTGAAGATATAACTCAATTGTTTCAATTAAAAGACTTTTGTTAAGTATTTGTTTTTTTAAAAATTAGTAAACTGTAAATTTGAATTTTTTTATTATTGCTTTGTTAATTTAATAAAAAAGATTATAAGTTTTATTAGAAATTAAGTTAAGATTTTTAATATAATAGGTTTAAGTTTAATATTGTAAATATATAAAGTACAGTTTTTAAAAATTTAGTTTTTAAAAATATACTACAGTATAGTTAGAAGTATAATTATTTTGTTTAGTTGCTATACAAAAAATATTTTTATTTTTACAAAAAAAATAAAATAATAGTATTGTAAATATAAAGTAATTGCAATATTAGTTTAAAATTTTGAAATATAATATTTGAATTAGTTTGAGTTATTACTTTTTGTTCATAGTATTTGGTAATTGGTAATTTAAAAAGTTTAATAAGACTTTTGAATTGTTTATTAAAAATAGCAGATTGATATTAGTAGTAGATAGTTGACTAAATAAAGTTGTATATTTAATTCTATAGTACTAAGAAATAAAGTTTGTATAGTATTTTTGATAATAGTAAGTGTTAATAGATAATTATTAAAAAATTAAAAAAAAATGTTGCTTTTTTGTTAATTACATTTTTTTATTTAAAGCTATATTGAAGAACTTTTAATGCAATAAGTTTGCTTTTAATAATTTTTAATTCAAAATAATTATTATAATTAAAATAATAGTAGTCTAAGTTGTAGATATTAAGCTTTTCTAAAATAATAATTAACATTATAATAAAAATGCAATAAGGAATAACAAATAAGTAGATATAATAAGTAAGTAATATAACTAGAATTCAGGATACAAAAGCATGCTATACTAAAGAAAATAATATATAATAAATCAATTTTTTAAATTTATTTATAATTATATATAATAATTAATAAATTAAATTATATAATTTTTTAATATTATTAAAAATAAAAAAAAACTTTGTATAAAGAAGTTTATAAATTAATAAAGAATTAACTAATCTTTTTAATTTATGATTTACAAATGTAATTACTATAATCAAAGAATACAAATTTAACAATAAACTAAATAAAATACTAGAATACTAAACATTTTAATTTACAAAAAAGCTAGTATCTAACAAACTAATTTCTATTAATCTAATATGCAAGATATAAAAATATTAAGATCTATTTAATTAAATAGTAATAAAAATTTTTTATTAAGTAAAATTCAGATTTT